TAAAGCACTGATTTCAACAAAGCACTGTTCTTCGCTACTAACCAATACATATGAAATGCAGCAGAAGTTGTCATTAATTGGTCATTACACATGACTTAACATCTTCCTTAAGATGTTAAGATTTTCATCAACGCTTACACACACAGTGACTTCACTGCTCCCTAAGTATTAATACTGCCAGCTCCCCTGTATTAGGAAGAACATCTATGCAGCTTCACCATACATTATTTTTGCCTTAATAAATGTCTCTGTGTGTGTATTCAACATACACATATAGATAGGGTTTTGCACACGCATACCTATACATTTGCTTAATACTCTTTTAAAACTTTGGGGTTCTTTTTAAAAAAAAACACAACAAAAGCAGAAGTTAAAAAGCTCTCACACCCGCTCTGAACAGGAAAACTTGTACCAGTAGGTTCAGAGCAGGCAAAGGCAAGAAAGCTCCAGTGAGCAAATTTCAAGGTTTTGCTCTCAAAAGTCTCAATGTGCTAGTTTCAACAACAGAAGCAGAAGGAAAATTTATTTTACATAAGCAGAAAGAGGACAAAAAACTAGCCTTAAGTACAACGTATTCTTTTTGTTAGAGTCAGATCCTGAGCATTTTAGACCTGGTTCTTAGAGGTTTTCAGCAGATATTTGACACCAGGAACAGTGAGTATCCTACTACACAAATGCTAACAAGTATGATGTCAGTCTAACTGAAGTTGTAGGTAGCCTTCAACAGGCCTTTTCATTACTCTGTTCTCTCCACTTCTTACGAAGTCTGAGCAGCAAGCTAACATGCTGTAAAACAAGGAAGGCCTGTGAATCTCACTTGCACTATATATTGCAAGCATGCTCTTCAATTTCTGGGCAGTGAGTCCTTGTCAGAGATCTGGAGTGTTACCTGTATCTTCTGCTCAGACTAAGTAAGGGAGGAATCAAATGTTTGTTTTTAGCAATACTGAAAATAACTCAAGACATCACAAAGTCACTGAGCAGGGTGAGGGAGGAATGGCAAAACACAGCCATGTGGCACTAGAGAGATAGCTGAGGCTGAAGGTGCGTGTTTATGATATAGCTGAGATAAGCTGACTTCGAATCGCTGCCAAGAAGGCAGCTCCTTCTCCCCTCCTTCTGCCCTCCTCACACTGGCGCTTCTCTGATCACCATGAGAGCTGATGCAAGGACATAAGCCTACAAAGCACTAACCTAACCTCTGATGTCTTCACTCCTTGAACTAATTCACTGTCAGGACAAATATACACCAAGGACCATACAAGGTTAGTGACAGGACCACCTCTTTCAGTGGAAGGCTACAGTAAAATGGGCTTATAAATATTGCAAAGCTACGCCTTGACTGAAAAGATAAAGTTGAAGTGCTGGTTAACAAATTGTGCAAAACCGCAGGATAAAGGAATCGGAAAGCATGTGATGGGCAGCTCTGACACAAAGTGTGCAGTCTCTTGGGAATGAGCACTGGATGGAAAAAGCCTGCAGTTTTGAGATAAAACACTGCCTTAACAAGAGATGGAATACAGACAAGACATCATGTACACTTTGTGAACTGATTCAATTGCCTAAAATATACACAATTATAACCATTTTCTCCTCTGACTGTAAGTCACCCAGTACCGAGCACAGGCTGCCTTCTGAGATACAACAACGTCAAGTCAAGCACTCTTAAAAAGCCAGGCTTTTTTGATCTCTAACATAAAATGCAACACTAGCAAACAATACTGACTTCAAATCATGCTGTACCTATGACACCTATCTTGTGACATGATGTTAACGTTTCCTCCTTTTCAGGAGTGTTGTAAAAATCCTATCTTTAATGGTAAGCACACCGGAGTGATAAGTATCAGGGGAAAGCCCACTATAATAAGAAAAAACCTTTTTGTCTTTGGACTATTCTTCAAAGTTTTCTTGTGCCTTAAATAAGGAAAGTAAAGTGTATACTAAAAGGTTTCTTGCCCATAGGTTGCATGGCCATAAGAAACCCATGAAAAAGACAAATTCACAGAATGCTAGGGATTGGAAGGGACCTCAAAAGATCATCTAGTCCAATCCCCCTGCTGGAGCAGGATCACCTAGATCAGATCACATAAGAACGTGTCCAGGTGGGTTTTGAACATCTCCAGAGAAGGAGACTCCACAACCTCTCTGGGCAGCCTGTTCCAGTGTTCTGTTACCGTTACTGGGAAGACGTTCTTCCTCACGTCAAATTGTCACATAACCGTATCCTAAAGCAAATGAAAAAATAGGCATTCTTTTTTTTCACTATCTGACAATGCAATCTCAATGTTTCGTAAGACAAAGGGGTCTTAACTATTTCAAATGTGTAAGATTTAACTTTTTAATTACATTTCATTCACAAAAGGTTGAATAGAATTTATCCTGAATATCCCAAAAGCTTTCAATTTTAAATATTCTGTAAAAACACAACCACTGCTATCACTTCTCTTCTCTTGATAAACAAATTTGCCAAAAAAGATTTGTATAACAAAATTTCAGTTTTCACCAAGTATATCATAAAACATTCTATACATTCAAATTATGCTTTCCTAAGTTTACTAAGAGCAAATAATTTATCTTTTGCAATCAGAAGACTTGCAAATTGCTTAGGTTATTTCTGATAAGTGTTTACAAGGACAAAGAAAAGTATGAATAAGCGTATTTGATTACCGTTTGTGAGTTTTGAGCGTTGCCTTGGAATCCTTTAGGTTTCTCCCACTGTGACTCTTTAAAACAAAAACATATTTCACCCATCATTCAGTCCTGTTCATGTTTAATAATATTTAGAAAAAACAGATCTAAAGGGTTTGACAGTGATGTATGCACACAAACAAATAAGCAATATAGATACACCTCACTGGAATATAAAACACCCTTGATCAAACTATGGTATGAACAATAAATCCAAGTATCATAATTACAGTCAGCTTTACCAGGACTAACCACCTTCCAGACTCTATTAAATAAACTATGGCTGATACACAGATACTGGAATTTTGGTACGAAAAAGGTGTTTTTTATTTTTTTAAATGGTAGCATAGGCAAGAAGAAACTAAACACACAAGATTTTTACCTTTCAAAAGTTATCGAATATGAGGAAAGCCTAAGGTAAATACTAATGTCGATTTTTAAATTTATAAGAAACAGTTTGAAATATTCTCACTAATCATAAAAGAGGGTTCTTTTTATGCTCTGAAGTAGATTATAACACATAGCTGCTCAACAGAAGTCAGTCAGTTAGATAAAAGCTGTAAGCGAGGACAGACAGCAATCCATAACCTCTCTCATTTACTTCAGCACAATCAATTTATTCACATTCCTGATAAGATTCGTTAGGAAGAACACAGCTATCTCTTGTATACTTAACCTCTGAAAGGCTAAACATTTCCAGAAACTGTGGAATTACTGCCTTCTCCCATTACTAACACAGAACAAAACCCGTCTGAAGTTCTGGATGCCCGAGTCTTGAGTGTTAAGTATCAAAACTCCATCTAATTGTTCACATTTTAATAATCAGCTTACTATTGAGAGAGTAGAAGTGTAAAGAAATGCAGGTAGTCTTTTTTCACTTATATCCAATAACTATATCTGCATTTGTTCCTCACTAGTTTTTACCTCCTGTTTTTGTGTTGTAATAATAAGTATAGCCTTCGGGAGAAAATCCTTGCACCCACTCCTTCGTTGCAGTTTTTGGTGGCACCGATGTGTCCTCAGGTGTCTTTTTTTTCTTTTCTTTCTTCTCCTTCTTTTCCTTTTTCTCTTTCTTTTCTTTCTTTTCTTTAGTTTCCACTGTGTTACTTTGTGTTTTACTCTGTGTCGAACTGGGACCTACATCATCTTAAAGAAAAGAATACTCCCTTTTAATAAAAGAGTAATAATCTGAGCTTAAATATTGGTCACTCAAGCAACAGCAAATAGAAAATTTTGTTCTTATGAGTGTTTTCACTAATTAGTATTACACTCATAGCAGATAAACTTAAAAGATTATATTCAAAGAATCTTGCATTATAGCAATACTACTGTGTCATAAGAAAGTCTAAATATCAAAAGATGAGTAACACAGAGAAAAACCGTAAAGACCAATGAGCTCCAACTAAACAACAGAAAAGAAACTTTTTAAAAGAGTTATGAAAAAGCTGGCTTCTACAGGAGCTTGAAACTACAAACTTTTTGAAAAGGGTAATCCGTCGTTACATGGACAGAACAAAGGTACTTGCTGAACTGCAAGTTGAGTAGGAGATTCTCATCTCCACTGTTTGACACCAGTTGGGCTCCCACCCAACCTCTCCTACTCAACAGGAACTTTTGTCTCCAACGGGCAAAAAAGAAACATAAAATTAACTAACTGCACTGCTAATTCAAAGCATCAGGTACAGCCTATTTTTTGTTATCAATTTGTTTAATTTTTCTACTCCAAATCCTTTTGTTTCATGGGCCAGGGGACACCATAGCTAAAAGCATCTGCGCTGCAACTTCTACTACTGGCAATTTGCAGACGTCCTTTTTTTTTTTTCTTTTTACCAAGCAAACGCAATCCTGGAGGCCTTCTCTCAGGTTCCTAAAACTTAATTTAAGAAAAAAAACGTTTCTATTCAATATTCTTTCAATTCTGTCTTTAATCCTTTGGCAGCTATATGAACTACCTGGCTTAATTCCAAGCCTTTTCAAATCCTCTTGATACGCTTTCATTGCAGCCTCTTCCATTGCTGCAAATTCTTTTGACATGTTTTCTTCTTCCTTTGCTTTTTCCAAGCTTTTCTTTTTAATCTAAAACAAAACAAAAAACCCAAGAGAATAAATTAAACTAGTCTGATAATGAAAGAGATTAAAAATAAGTATTCATGCAAATCAGATATTTGAGTTACCTCACTAATTCTTTTTGCCACATTTTCTTTATGATTCTTTCCTCTTTCATGAAACTCAATGCTCTTAGAAGTGAGAAAAAACAAGAAAAAAACCACATATTATAAAATTTTAATTTAGTTAATTTTAGCTAGTTAAAATTTAGTTAGACTAAACTTAGTTGAACAAGCCTAAAAGTAACCTGTTCTGAAAAGACAGCAAACACTGGAGCTATAAAATGGCTATATGAATTCAGGAACACTGAGAAACACTCAGCATAGAAATTATGAAAAATCAGTAACACTCCAAAATGGTATCATATAGAATTTCATAGTCTGTATTTATAAGATTTAAAATTTTTCAAACAATACTGTTCAGCGCACATATTAGAGACAAGTAACGGGGAATCTGGGCTCACTCTCCATGCTACCCTTCCAAGTATTATCCCTTGCTTTTTTTTTTTACCCTCTCTGTTTTCATGCAAACTTTTAAAAAACATATGGCTTATTTAGTGTTCCAAATATTAGCCACGGTCCTTCATTAGATTGTGCGACACTCCACAAATATCCCATGAACTTAAAGCTACTAGTTTGCAGGTCCACAAATCAGAGAGAGAGTGCAAAAGGCAAGGTGGGACAGTTGGGTAACTAAGGACAACAGAACAGCCTGCAAGCCAAAAAGCTGCCTGAAAGACTGAAGCCAGTAGGAACCAGAAGGAGTTCAAAAGCTGTACAGGTACAGGTACAACACTGGAAGTCCTCACGTGGTTCTCACAAAAAAAATCTGACCTCATATAGGTGTTCAAACGTTTGGTGCCTAAGCATGACCTAGCAACCCTAAAATTTCTTTGCACGAATCGATGTGCAGAGGATGCACATCCAGGGGATGATTCATCTGATTTAAAGACAGACTTTATAAGTTACTTTATAAGTTAACATGTATTTCTCTTCACTGACTACAAGAAGAAACCTAAACCAATTAGCTCAAACTTGTCATTCTGAATTGCAAGTATTTAATTGTAAGCCAGATGAAGCTCAGCTCCAGGAGACCCCTGACACCAAGTCAGGAATGCAAAACTTATTTGTAAGTAAGAAACCAATGGGTCTAGTAGCCTGCAAAAGGCATCTGCAAGTCAGAAACACCGTTCTGTGACCCAGTAATGTTTTGTGTGCTGTGTGAAATGAAAGAAACCTGCTTTAAATGCTTAGAGTGCTGGCTGTACCAGGCCTGCCATATATAAACAGTACGTGTGCCAGGTTTTGTTTTCTACTTGCGTACGAAAGCTAGGAACAGGCGTGGACAAAGTTTCAAGACAGATCAAATGTTAAGTTACAGAACCCAAAGAAAAAGCAGGGTCAGATATTTCAGTTCTTATCTGTACTGCCAAGTAGAACAGCACACACCATCTTGTATGCAGGTATCTGGCTCTCTTCTAATACGTTTTAAATATCACGAGTATTACAAAGGCATTTTTAAATAACAAATTTCATGCATCAAGAGTTTAGTATCAAAAGTGATGTTAAAAGCCTGTAATTCAAATTCCTAGTATTTCAGAATCATTGCCATGGTATGATAGACCATCGTACAGGTCTGTTGTCTGCTATCCAGCACTTGCAGTAATCGCAGAATTTTTTTGGCTGAGATTTCCAGTAATCGGCCCTAGGGAGAGAAAAGAAAAAGAATATGTATAACTTGAAACAATAATCAAAGCCACAGGTTTATATATATATATGTATATCTTTAGAAACTAAATTTAATTGTCTTTGGGTGATTGAGTGCTACAAGTTTGTTTTTCTTTTTTTTTAAAAAAAAAAAATAAAGTATGGGAGCAAGTAAGAGTAGCTATATTGACTACTGTATCTCATAAACTGTATTCAGTATTGGGATTGTGCCCATCTGACCCTCGAAGACTGCACAAATTTTACAATGGAGGTGATGCTATGAGAACCAGAAATACAAGAGGACACAAACCAGAGATAAACAAGCAGCTCTAGATACCCTAATTAAACACAGAACTGTCAGAAAAGTGCTATTTGCACTACTTTTCATTAAAATGCATACAGTAAATGTTTCTAAGTGTAAAACTTTAATTTAACGTCAAAGTCTACTTTGGATACTGTACACTGGGAGCTTGGCATCACAAAGGTGCAGTTCTGGACAATGTGAGCTACTGTGGGGAATCCTACAACAGACTCTGACCTGTGGGGTCACAGACACAGCAGTAAATTGTTTGGATGCTTCAGTGTAAAAATGGGAGTATTTCTGAACCATGCAATTTAGATAAGTCACGTATGTGTGAGGAAACCAGGGGGAAATTCTTCAGAGCTCAAAAGTTAGCACATAAAAGTGTTTAACAATAAAACAAACAACCCCCCCAATGGCTGTTTCTTCATCAAAACCTGCTTTCTAATGCCAGATGAGGCTTATGCAGAAATAATTTCATTTCTAACTGGCTTGAAGCAACAGATGCAATGCTTTGGTTCAACAGAACACATTCCAGCAACAGACTTCTATGTTTTTAAGCTAAAATGAAAAAGAACAAGGGGTGAAAACAAAAAAAAAAAAAAAAAAAAGATTACACTGAGAACATTAAAAAAGGTCAGTCTAAAGAATGAATCTTTGCCTTCCGTCTGAAGATCAATGTATGGAGTTCAAGGAAAATACTTCCTGACATTTTTAATCAATAAAACAAAAACTTCTTTCATGCACAACAACAGCATGCTCAAACCTGATGATACGGGCGAGCAGATCTTTCATAACAGAAACAGACTCTTAAAATTTAAGCAGATATCAAAATACGCTCTCGTACCAGTGCTTAAAGTAAAAATACAATTTCTAAGAGGCTACAATTATTTAGAAGTTTAAGTATATCCTCTGCAAAAATATATCAACCTATAAGCAATACTGCATTAGCAACATGTAGCTTTTCCAGCAATTTTCTGGAAAGCTAGAAAGAAGCAGCTGGGCTTCTCCTAAGTCAAACAGAAATCCGCTCATCCCTAAACGGTGTCCTTTAAAACTGGGTGATTACTTAGTCACACATTTAATTAAAAGGCTTTTGAGATTTATGTAGCAAAATGTACTAAGGCCAAAGCCTGCGAAATCAAACACTCCGGCCGGAAAACCAGCTGAGTGGGAGGGAGAAATTCAGAGCTCAGAAATACTTCCAGGCCCGTTTTCCTATTTGAGCTATAGCTTCTAAATCGTCTCTAAATCCTTTGATATCATCTAGGATAAATTTCCTGCTAAAAGCTGGGTTAACCTTCCTAAGGCAATGGACCGATTCTGACAGAAAACACATAAAATGTAAAAGAGCCTCACTGCGTGTGTCGGAGGTGCAAGAACATCTGCGTATTTCCAAGTTTAACCTAGCAGGGCTGGCTCTTTCTCTTCAACAGAATCAAGTGCAAGTGCTAAAATTAAGACAGTACAGCTGCGCCCACCAGAAGTCAAGACCTGAGAGTGTGACGAGCTGTATTTTCACAGCTATATTTTCCACCGATTTCTTTCCTAAATGCTACTGGACATCACATCTGGTGCAAACCACTGTGGCTACAACATAGAGTAATCATGCTGGAGAGCCTGAGGGCACACCTGGGACTTAAGTACAAATCCTGGTCTTGACAGAAACCTTCCTTCCTCTTCTGTCAGTTTTGGTAAAGATTGGAGCTGGCTCTCTATTGGTACATATAAAATAAATGTAAAGGATGCTCTGTGCGGAAGATCTGATATCCTGGGAACCTTAAATCCTGCATTTCATGATTCACGGAGTTAATTGTGTAAATTATCGTCCCAATTCTGCAACTTACGAGCATGAGGAGTGTTATATGCTGAAATCTTAAAGATTTTCTACTTGGGTTCATATTGCTCAAAACATAGAGCAAGCTCAGCTGAAATATCGACCGAATAACATCTGCCATTGTAACGAGGATGGACCCTGCAAAGCACCACCGATGGTGCTGCAACGAGGGCAAACCAAAGGGGAGTCTCTGGAAGGGCGCAGCAAGTGAAGCGAGACCCCACTTCAATGAGATGCTGCAAGTGCATCACAGGCTGTGGTCACAAGCCTGAAAGTTAATCCAGATCCATGACAATGTATAAGTATGTGATTATTTTATTAATCTGCCAAACACAGGCTTGAAGGAAGATGGTGTTAAAGTGGTACAGAGGTCTTTTATACTTGAATAATGGTGTAAAAATCAAGGGAAACGTAGTTATTTTTAAAAGTAATTGAGGCAAAATGGTATAGCTTTTAAGACTCCTCAACTTCTGCCTGCACTTATATCAGTAAAGTGAAGGCTGATTCGTGTTTTCAGCTTTACAGCTGGGCCAACCGGCTAAGGACCAGAAAGCTAACAGGGCAGCCATCGCCACCACAACCATCTTTCTTCCTTTTGCTAAACAGAGAGACAGTCCAGAGTGCATCGAGTCTGGGTGGTGCAGGTTTGCAGGAGTGAGGCTTCAGCACTGTGCACGTTTACCCAGGTGTGGCTATCCAAACGGGAGCTTAGTGACACCGACCCCACGACAGGTGCTGGTTTTACTGCGAAGCTGTATCTCTCGGGAAGGCTTCTGACCAAGTCTGCTCAGAGCCCAGTTTTCCAGAGCTGGCTGAGCAAGTAGGCTTGGCAACCTGCTACTGGGAACACGGGGAACAGAGCACTGTCGATACAGATGGGTACCAGACAACTTCTGGACACGCTGCTGTAAACTTTCAGCCAGTTGGAAATCTTGTACTAACTTGCAAAAAATGTGCGTCACCTAAAGAACAGTGATTTTCTTTCAACTTTTACTGGTCAAACCACCCAGGGGCAGAATGTGCAACAGTTCAGAGCACTAAAAGAGAAAGAGGGGAAAAAGACAGAGTGAGTATCAAACCATTTTCTTGAAACTTTAATGAAATGATAAAACTCTTCACTGCAAACAGCTGTAGAGTGCAAACAGTGTCAACGTTAAAACCATTTTCATAGAATCATAGAATGGTTAGAATTGGAAGGGACCTCAAAGATCACCTAGTTCCAACCCCCCTGCCATGGGCAGGGAAACCCTCCACTACACCAGGTTGCCCAAAGCCTCATCCAACCTGGCCTTGGAACACTTCCAGGGATGGGGCATCTACAACTTCTCTGGGAAACCTGTTCCAGTACCTCACCACCCTCTGAGTGAAAAATTTCTTCCTTATATCTAATCTAAATCTCCCCTCTTTCAGTTTAAATCCATTGCCCCTTGTCCTGTCTCAGACTTATGAAATTCATTTAAACCTTCAGAGGGAGTTGAGAAGACAGGGAAGAACAAGTAGCAACTCTGCATTAACAGCACCCACCACATTCACGGTTTCAAAAGATATCAAAACACTGAAACTCGGAGAGAAAACTGTGAAACTCAGGTATTTTTACTTTGTATAATTCCTTTCTTGAGCTATGAGAATTACGCAGCCTACGCAGCAACGTCTGGGTTACACGCTCCTACTGCACATGAACCATCACCTGGGAGCACACAAAGGGGACAGGTTCTGTCAACCACATTCAGAGAGCAACTTGCGGAGTAACTCCAGCAGTACTGGGGGTCCAGGGCCCTGAGCTGTCAACCTGGGAGCTGATTCTCCTCACAACTTACACTATTATTAATGTTTTAGCAGCTGGTGCAATCAGCCTTCCTTACATAGAGGAGCTTAAGAAACCCTCATAAAGAAGCCATCTCCAGCTAAGACGGCTTTGCCAAACTTTCAGACTCGGCTGGAGAGAGGGTTTGGTTCCTACCAGGTACTGGATGAAATTATAAGGCAAGGGAGGGAAGGGAAAATAAAGAAGCAACTGTTTCAGGTGGTTCTGAACACGAGGAAAAAAAAAGTAATTTGGTCGTGCAAACAAAATCTGGAAGCGTTTGCTCTGTTCTAAAATATCAGACTTGAAACTTGGCAGGGATGCAGGGGGGTTTGTATCAGGAATATACCTGTCCCAGTTATAAGCCTTTAGCCTAAAAACCATCACACACACACTCAGCACTCTTCTTTGGGTTTAATATCTACGACCTCTGGAGACTTCATGCAAAGTTAGCATCTTCCAGCTTTCTGCAGGTTTGAGCACTGAACAGCTTGTGCACATATAATCTTCAATACAGGTGTGTGAAGTAAGAAATACACAGATTCGAGTTCATACACAAGGAAACTACTTCAGATTAGCTATTGTGGCTGGTTTGTTACA